CAAAGTATGAAAGAGAAGGAATTTTGTGTTCTCACTCTTTGAAGGTTATAAGAGACATATTGAAGATGAAAGAGGTTCCTTCACAATACATTGCAAAGAGGTGGACAAAACAAGTAAGAGCTGAAACTGTGAAGGACTTTTATGGGGAATAACATTCAAGTTGATATAAAATTCCAACAAGCCTCGCAGTATAAGACATTGATGACCGCATTTAGAGCAATAGCATGTAGAGCTACTGAAACTGAAGAAACCTATGATTTGGCAATTGTACAACTCACTACATTAGTTGGAAATGTTGAATGCAAGTTAAGTGCTCATTTTGCTGTTGAAAATGAAGTACGTAATGAGGATGAAACCCAAAGCGTTGAAGTGGATTGTGAAGATGAAAATCATGTTGTGCAACCAAGAGGCTTGAAGAAAAATGTGGCTACTACTAAGGGCAAAAGGAGAGTGAAAAGTGGATTCAAAGCGGTGTTGGTAGCAAACTCGAGAAAAAAAGCCCGTGCTAATACCTTGGCTACGCCACAATCTATTGCAAGTCCAACAGTTAGACCTTCACTATTATCTGTTCGAGGAGATGTCTATAGTCATTAACATGTTCCTCATCATCATCCTCTTAATCCATCTGTTGTAATAGGTGGTAATTCAATACCTCCTTCATTCATATATCCCACATATCATGTGAGTGTTAGTTTCAGATTTTATTATTTTGTTGTCGATATAATATAACACTCTGACTTATTGTCAACCATAATATAATGTTGTCCTTGTTGTAAGCAAACAATTTGCAAAATATGTATGTAGTGCCAAATTGTGTACCAAATCCAATGCCTCGGCGCTATTATGGTCAGCCAACATTCCAGTCAGTAGGAGAAGGTTCATTTGGATATGACATTGGATTTCGATATTCTGAACAATCAAATAGTCTAATGTGTAGTCAGGTTATTTCATTAACTTTAGCAATTAATATTACATTTGTTGTACATTGTGTGCCCCTTTGCTGCTGTGTTTTGTTAATGTTGTTTTTTTTTTTTTTTTTTTGTGTTCTTGTCTTAGGCTATCGACCAGCACAAACAGGTGGAACGCACTGCAAATTTCTACAATAGCAGCTTATAACATTAACAAAACACAGCACGTGTCCATGTGTTGCTAAAACATGTGTTACTGATATGATGTTGTCCATGTGCTGCTGTTGTCCATGTATGTTGCTGTCCATGTGCTGCTGCTGTCCATGTGTTGCTGTTGTCCATTTTTTGCTGCTGCTGTCCATTTTTTGTGCTGTTGCTGTTCATTTTTGTGCTGCTGTTGCTGTGCTGCTGTCCATTTTTTTATTATGCTGCTGCTGTCCGTTTTTTGCTTAACTAGTACTGTTGAAACTGTTTTTAACTTGTATTGGTGCTCCAAGAATGTGTGTTGTTGTCCATGTTTTTAACTGTTTTTAACTTTTATTGGTGCTTAAGTGGTAATGTGTGTTACTGTCCATATTATGTATTTAAGTTATTATTTTATTATGTGAGATTGAAGTCATATTTATGTCAAAAAATATGAGTGTTATTATTGTTGGTTCTAGTATGCTGTTAGCCTCCAAGAATGTAAGTGTTATTATTTTATCTGTTCTCTGTCCATGTGTGTTACTGTCCATATTGTGTTGTTCTGATATCTGTTCTTCATTGATCACCCATATGTTCTGCTACTGAGGTTATGTTGCTGTTATCTGTTCTGCTGGTGGTTCTAATATTGCTGGTTCTGCTATGCTGCTGCTAGAGCTTCATGTTGCTGGTTCTGGTTCTGGGACTTGGGTTTCAAGGAACATGCCGGTGCCATACTCATAGAACCATAACATGTATGAGGTTCTTTGATGTGAAACCAAAATGTGTCTAAGGTGTGAAACCAAAATGTGCCAAACCTACAACAAATAGCATCCAGAGATCTAGATGACTACAACTGAAACAGTACCAAGCCACCTCAAGCAATGTTAACCAGATGATTGGATCATAGAGTGAGGCAGAGACCACTCCTGTGTATGCCAACCATTAGAATGATCTTCTTTAAACTTGCTAACAAATAATAGTCTATGTCTGATAAGTGAGGGCAATCAAAAAACTTGCTAACAGATAACAAGTTGAGGCCACTGCCAAATTGTTTAAGAGAAAGGGAAATCAAAAAATAAGTGATCATGGTCCTCATTATGCTTCTCACATAAAACACGTGTAGCTAAGTCTCTAATACCAAACATAACCAATTTCACATTTTTACAATGCAGAATATGCCTCTGGTTTGCAAGTGGTGCCTATTGACTACGGCTGAATTTAAGAATGGGAGTAAGCTCTAATAATGAGACCAATGTTTCCCAAAATTCATTCCGTAATGAAGTAATGGCAGTTCTAAGTTCAACATTAAAATTCATTCTGTCACACCCCAAACCCGGGTATGACCGGCCGTGGCCCACAGGGCCTTAGCCCAAGGCACACGTAAACCTAAACACGAATCCACAAACACATTGAATAACTATACAATAGTCCAGTAACAAATATTTAAAACTCAATCCAGTGACACGCCACAAGTATAAACGGAAAAACCAACCGTAATCAATACCATCCAAACTCATGGGATATAAATAGCCCATATATCAAAATAATCCTAAATGAACCCCAATAAAAACAAAAATAAATATGCACAAACTTGACATAACCATCTAAAACAAAATATTGAATGTCCTAAAGGTCCATGCAATTGAGTCCCCGCTACACCATGAGTCCACTATAAGTCCTTCTAACACCTGGAAGTGATAAACAACTAAGTCAACTGATAGCTCAGTGAGTAGCAACATGGATAGTAAATACAGTTTTGAAAACAGGGTTCAATTCCAAAATAAGATATATATCACAGAAACTAGATTGGCATACAGTTTGGTAAAAACAATCTGTTTAAAAAAGAAGGTTCCATAGTTCAACAGTTAAAATATCCATGTCTCTCAAAAACATGATAAATGACATTTTTCACTTAAAACAGATTACAACATGAACACCAACAATTTTTTGGGTTCCAAGAAATAACAAGTAATATGCCACACAATTCTCAAGGCTATAAGCCCCGTTGGATCCAATACCGAACTAAGAGTCATCCTCAGGGTAGCAACCCGGCCTTTTCTTTAAGACAATCCGATTGAAGGTCACCTAGCTTGACCTAGTTCTTTTCCTTACAATCGTTGAGCACTAGAGTCATCACGGCCCAACCCAGATCTATTCCCTAGTGGCCAGAGTCACCACACACAATGGAATAATTTCCCTGGACTAAAATATACAGATGGTCTCAATAATCAATACACATCAGTTTCGCAAAACATATTAGTTCACCATTATAAACTTGAGACCAAAACAAATAGTTTACAGTATGCCAAGTTCACACATGTTTCAGAAATAATTTGGTTTCATTGATAATATAATAATTTATCAAAACAGTTTAGTCATGAAACAACAATTTAATTTTCTAACAGTTCAAGGTAGGGGAACATTTATAAAAATATGTAGTATGAAACTACTCACCTGAAAACGAAATAATATAATTCTAGAATAAATTATGAAAGTCCAACTAGTGCCATGAACCAAGTATGAAAACTACACGTCACTACTACTTTAAAAAAATACTAAATAGAATAATAAACTAAGTACCCCACACTAAAGCACACTAACACAACTCAACCCCACTCACCGTTACTCTTAAATAATACCTAAGTTAATGTTCTTCAAGGTCTAAAATTACCCAAGACATGGGTTCCGATTGAAACTTAACTAAAAGTAAGTTTAAGATAAAACAGAGTTTTAAACAAGTTTTCCCAATCTATTCGCTAACTTTGAAAATTAAAAACCCACTCCACGTTGCTCGAAAAATTTTAAAACCCTCCAGATATCAACTAATATATCCTAAGTTTCAAACCCAAATGGTTTCACTTGATTTGTTTGTCAAAATAATTATCTACAATTAATTATATCTAAACAAGTTGTTTTCTATAGCATTTTAAAGAAATTAATGGTTCTCTTAGTATACATAAGAAATCAATACAAGGCCAAAAACGTACGAAACTAGGCTCGTAGGTGGTTCTAATGACACTGATTTGATAATTTTCGGATCTATACCCAAAGAGAACAACACTCCCGAACTTACTGTTTAAAACCAGTTTTCTGGACAGATTTGAACGCATCAGTTTATATGGATTTTGACTCCCAAAAATTATGAGAAAATTCAGATATGAAATTCAATATGTAATTAATCTACTGTAAAAATTTCAGTTCAAAATTCAGTCGTTTGATATGATTTCTTAATTTCTAAAGTTTGCTGGCAGATTAATATTCTTAGGAGCAACATTATGAATTCAATTAAAATTTCTAGAATATTATCCCAATCAGCCAATCCATTCCTTTTTCTTCCAACAACTCACAACACCCACATGCACCATAACTATGTATACAACATACTATAATAGAACAAGAATAGTTTTATTGTTACCTTAGAGTTGTTAAGCCACAAAGGTGCTTTCTTTCCCTCTCTCTTTTCTATCTCTTGCTCTCTCTTCCTCTCTCACGTTGCTACTAGCTGCTGCTACTATAGTGTTGTTAGGAACCCTAGGATTGTTTTTAAATATATATATATATATATATAAACAAAACTCTAAATAATTATCCTTTGTTTTATATTTTTTTTCACCATTAATTTAAATAAATATAACTATTATTATATCAAAATAAACTTACTACTTGCCCCCTATATTTTTATTTTTTTAATTTTTTTTTTATAATAAATCTTGCCTCTAAATAAAGGACTTCCACCAAAAATTTATTTTAGGTTTAAAATTAATTAAAAGACCCTTCAAATATTTAATTTGCACCTTAGGATTCACCCTCAAAATATTTGAGATTGTAAAATTATTTTTATTTAATTATTTACTTTATTTTTATATTCGGGTTCTCACACATTCCATAAACATAAGTTACATTATGAAGTACAATAAAACCCAAAATGATAGAAACTTCTATTTAGTTTCCCAAAATACAATAAAGTACAAAAGTTACATCATAAAGTACAAAATGATAGAAAATACAATGAAACACACCATCGCTTTGATATTATTTTCTATCCTTTCAAGCCTTCGACCATAGTCATTTTCCATATCATCAAGCCTCGTCCTTACATCGTTAAAGTCTTCTACTGTTATAGCATCACAAGCTCTAGTGTTGGAACAGATTCTGGGCGTAACGTCTTCATCATCTTCATCTACAAACTTGAAGTAATTACAATGGGGAGTGGGAGTGTTACTCTACAATGCATGACGATCAGTTAGTTGAATAATACAAATATTAATGTGACTACTAAATGATTAAATTTTCCAATACATACTTACATATTTTGATGGGCAAACAAAGAACAAACGCCCTTGATTTCCATTCTCATTGGTTCTTACAATATATATGGCAGCGGTTCTTCCACAATTGCACAGTCTCAGTTGTAATCTTATGTTGCTATTGTTAGAAGAAGAAGTCATTTTTTAAATCTGCATACATGAGAAATTTGTAGTGCTGTGCTATGCTTGTGTTTGAAGCAGGATCAACATTCATGAGAAAATAAATGATTTGTAAAGTCTCATAGATAAGGTCTAAATTAAATGATTTGTAATTACACACATATGGCAGCTCTATAGAGTTATACCCATAACAGAAGTAATGGCAGTTCTATAGAGGAGAAGGACAGAGTGTGAAGGCTTAAGAATATATGAACATAGCATTTGAACAAACATGGTAGTTCAATGTTGGTCATTTTCTTCAGTTTTAAACATAGCATTTGTGATTAATTACACACATGTTACACACATAGCAGTTTCAAACTGAACAAACATGGCAGTTCTTTAGTTTCTTCAGTTTTTCCATCATGTTAAGAAACTGAAAATCCCAAAACCATGCTTCTTCAGTTTCTTCAGTTTGTCAAAATATTTGTTCAAACTGCCATGTTTGAGCCAAACTGGACAAACATAGCATTTGTACTACAAAACCAAGAAAGAAGATACTGCTGGAATTAATCCCAAAACCAAGCATATGAAGAAATATCCAGAAAAGAAAAAAGAAAAAAAGTAAACAGTTTTTAAAACAAAACACAGCTGATACAGAGGTTACACATACTAAACTGTTAATAGCATTTGAACAAACATGACAGCTCAATGTCAGTCATTTTCTTCAGTTTCAAACATAGCATTTGTGATTAATTACACACATGTTACACACATAATAGTTTCAAACTGAACAAACATGGCAGTTCTTGAGTTTCTTCAGTAAAACACTAACATTGCTTGAATTAGGAAACCCATGTCACTGATCATACTAGCATAACTCAAAACCACCTCAAATGCACAAAAACCAAATTTTGAAATGCCAAATTTCCACTATCCCTCGTGGTAAAATACCAATGGTGCTTTGAATGAAGAAACATATATCATTGATCATACTAGCATAACTCAAAACAACCTTAATGCACAGGATTCAGACTTCAAAAACCCAAATTGCCACAACTTATTGGTTTTATGACTTCTTGTAAATCAAAACAACTAAAACATTAGATTTAATAAATTTATGATTTTCTCTCCTTCCTCAAATTTTTTATCAACCAACCAGAGGGGAGAAGAAAGTATGTTCACTGTTTCTAGTAAAAAAAAAAAAAGGCATAAAATTATTTTATTTCCTCAAAGCCTATTCAACAACTCTACAACAATTCTTTACAAAAACAAGTAGAAAATTAATCAATTTGTCTCACTAATTAACTAGGTTTATGGATACTAATTCATCAAAAACACACCCACTCTTAAAGCCCTAATTTTTCCCTGTTGGAATCCCAAATCAAAGCCCTAATTTTGAAATTTCAAATCTATTTTCTCAATCTCAATCACACAACCCTAACTTCTTTATTTCAGTGTTTCGAAAACAAACATGGTTCCTCTATGGCTTCAGAACCCGCATTCTCATCAAGAAATTTCTTCGCTCAGCCAATGGTGGTGGTTGCGGTGGAGCTATGGTTCACGAAGCAGAGAATATTAGGGCTGGAATGGGTCGCCGTCGGGACTGGTTGCCGATGCCATCTGGGGGACTAGTTGCTGGTAAGGGTGGGTTCAATGGAGGAGGACGGGTGAGTGTGAGGCTGAGTGAAAGTGAAAGTGAGAGTGAGAGTGAGAGTGAAGTGAATGTATAACTATAGCAACAGGTGGAAATCTTCTGAAATTTCAATTTTTTTTTTAATTTTTTTTACGGCCGTTGGATGTGCAACGGCTGATCTCAGTCGTTGGAGAAGATGAACTAGGATTGTCAAGGAGGGGATCCAGACTCGCTAAAGTATTGATGAGTGAATGATATATATCTAGAAACATATCTGGGCAATAATCACAAAGAAGAAATAATGTGATAATTGTTAAGTTACCAATTTTTCCAAAAGCCTAAGCTATTAGGAAAATCGACCCAACAATGTATATCAAGCTATCTAACACCCTCCCTCACGTGCAACCCCGTCTTGCATGTGAAGAGGCAAACAGAGAACCAAATAGAAGGAGAAGCAAATAAACAAGGACATAATACCAAATGCTAACGGAGAGACTTGAACCCAAGACCTCTCTTAACCAGAGATCTGATACCATGTGAAGTTACTAATTTTTCCAAAAGCCTAAGCTATTACGAAATCAGCCCAACAATGTACATCAAGCTATCTAACAATAATGAAGCTAAACAAGTAATAGGATGCTTTGTAATTCTCAGTCTTGATGAGTTTATCTTTGATAGTCTGTTAGTCTAGTAATGTTGTCCCCTTGTGGACAGTAATTATGCCTGTGGTTTTATTCATTTTTGCATGGTGACTGTTTTTTCATGCTTGAGAAATTCCTTTTTGAAGTTATTAGGGTTGTCTAGATTTCCTTTTTTGCTTTTTTTGTTTCTTATTTTGGTCAAGAATATTGTGAGTCTACAGAAATTTGTATTTATTCGTATACTTGTTTCTATATTGGCTTGGTATTGTATTTTAGGAGTATCTTTTTTTACTGTAGTTAGGATTCTTTGATTGCAATCCAACTTACGTATTTATTTAAAAAAAACTTTTTCCTCTTGGATTTTGGATCTTTTATGATTTGTATATTGGATAGAGCAATTTTTGGCAAGTTTTTAATGTCTTCGGAGTTTTCTAGTATCGATAAAAAGGACACCTTGCTGTAACACGATTTTGGAGTTGCGGTGAAATCTTTTCCTGGCTAGAGCATGAGTGTAGAATTCTTCTACTGACTCGGGTACTGAACTCAAGCTGCCCCTATGGAGCAAGGTACTTTTTTCTTCTTTTATTTTCCTATTTGCTTAATCTTTGTTCATTCATATCTGTCGAACAGAGCTTAACCATCATAATCCAAACTTATCTCTTGGAATCCATTATTTTACAAGACCTAGCCCTGTTTTCCATGTTTTAATATATACTAAGCTGTCCTTCGATACTAGTAGAGAGGGTATCACTCATTAAATGTAGAGAAGGCATGCAACTTTGATGGTGGCAGCGTTAGGTAGTTGAGGACATTAACTATCCTTCAGGGTGTATATTACCTAGTTCATTATTCTTTTCGCTTCCACGAGTTCACATATTATATTCTAACATATACTAAGCTGTCCTTCGATACTAGTAGAGAGGGTATCACTCATTAAATGTAGAGAAGGCATGCAACTTTGATGGTGGCAGCGTTAGGTAGTTGAGGACATTAACTATCCTTCAGGGTGTATATTACCTAGTTCATTATTCTTTTCGCTTCCACGAGTTCTAGTGCTCAACCAATATGTAGTAGAAGTGCTGACTGATTTATGTCTTTCAACGTGGATTCCTTTATTTTGGAAAAACTATTGTCTATCAATGAAGACCTCATTTTTAGTGGTTGAATTTCGGGTTATAGCAGAAATTGGTTATCAAGTCATATTAAAAGAGAAGAGGAGTATTGATTAGCCATCATTTCTGCTAGGAATAGATTTATCTCTCTTATCAGTTCTTCAAGAAATTGGTACTTTACCAAAAAACAAAACTTGAAGATATTGGTTTCTAGTCAAAAACTACCTTAGTGCAACCCCTGCTTGAAATTGAATGCAATAAGAATTGATGATATCTCTTATTGGATTAAATTCTGGCCTCATCCAAACACTACAATGTGAATTACCTCTTTCTTCACTCTCATTGTTTCTTGGTCTGTAATTAGAGTGTGGTTGTGACTTGGTGCGATGGCATTCCACTACTATCCACCCCAAGCTTTGTGGCGCATGTTTGAGTCACGGCCTTGGTGACTTGATGTAAGACTGCCTACCTTTTATCTCTCTCAGACACTGCTGCAAGCTGGAGCTTGTGCACTAAATCAGCAGCCCCATCACATGTTGCCTAAAAGTAGCTGTAGGTATTGCAAGGATTAACTCTTTTCTACATATAGAATTAGATTACATTACGGAAGTCTAAACTATCAATTTTCATAGAGTGAAATCTGAAACTGAAAATAAATAGGGAAACAAAATGAAGCACCAAACTAACAAGTTTTCCATGAAACACATTTTTCTTTAGAATGTCTTCCTGTGAACTCGAAATCAAGACTCATGGAGAAACTTTTTTAGGTGGTTTGGTTATCTTCAACTGATGAAACTCCTCGTTGGTAAACAAAAACACTAGTTTGGTCAGTTTTGTTTTATTTTTCTCTGCAGTATATTTGTACTTTACCCTTCTATAGGTTGTATTCCTTTTTCCTTTCCTTTTTGTCTTCTTGAAAATCATTTTATTGGTCAAAGGGATATGCATTACTACTTATGAGCCAGTGATTAATGGCTTGAACATAGTTATGAATTTCATACCAGTTTTATATATATATATATGTGTGTGTGTGTGTGTGTGTGTGTGTGTGATGAGGAACCCCTGATCCCACCTTTGATGAGAGCTGGGAGAAAATTCTGGATGTGTGACCACCCACTAGCCTCACATATTGGGCAAAGTAGGGAGTCGAACCTAAAACCACTTGGTTGTTGATCTGGGGACTTACCATTTGATAGTTTCTACAAATTCTCTGGACCTCATATTTCCAACAAACTCCTCTTGCTATTCTCTAATTGCATTCAGAATGGATTTTATGGCACAGTTAGATTATTGAACGGATTTCTTAATAGCCGTTCTACATCATTACCTCATCCATATTCCCCACCAGTAGCTAACAACAGAACATAAAGAATTGTCATGTTACAGGTAAAGTGACTTCAATTTGCATGAATAATGCCATTATTGAAATTAACTATCGAAGACCAACAACTAGCTACTAAGTGAACTCCGTTTCAAATTATGGTATGAGAGTTGACTGATCACACCTTTATCCAGTTTCCATTAATGAAAATGTTAAATACATTCCCATTTGATAGCCAAAGAGGGTCCTTTGGCTCAGGAGGATGCACCACTCACTGTTTCCAGCTGATCCACACACCTGGGATTGAAAGCCTTACAAATCTATTTTACCTTGATATGCATGTTCTAAGACTAGCCAATAATACGAAAGTATACCTTTAACAAAAATTAAAAAATCAATTCCATTGACAAAACGATACACTAACTCGTATGGAATTCATACCCATAAGGGTTTAGCTCAAATGGTGAGTCCCCAAGTAAATAACCAGAAGGTTTTATGTTCAACTTTGCCCGATATGTGAAGCTACACATATCCCAGGTCTCACCGAAGGTGGAGTCAAGGGTTCCTCATTATCAAAAATGAAAAACAAAAACTGCTGTGGAATTCAAAACTTACTCTGCCAACCACATATCTCAACAAAGAGATACAGAGACATATAAGCTCAACGTAGAAATAGAAGCTCATTTGCACAAGTAGCAGCTCTAGGACTGAACCTGTGAAGTAATGCCAGTTACTCACTTACATGTTATGCAGTAAATGAGCCTGTATCTTTGGCTCATAAGCAGTAATGCAATAATCCTGTAACATAAGCAAAAAAAATAAATTTTTAGTTTTGAAGAAGAAATGAAAATATTGTGCACAATTTAGAAGAAATAAATCCTTCCTTCAAGATTCTGAGCGTAACAATTGAGAACGAAATAGCCATTAAGGTCCACAAAACTAAGAAGAAAGCATAGCATCAACTGAAAGAATAGCTAATGACAACGGTTCAAGTGCTTTCCTGCCATCTTCACTCCCTCTCCCTCATATATATAAATATACATGTATGTACATTTGTTTTCTTGTCAAATGCTTAATTCTATTTATGACAAATGCTTAATTCTATTTATGACAAATGCTTTTCACAAGTATACGGTTTACAGACTGATTGCCAAGCAAACATCTTTAACAAAGCTACGCTAGTAGCATGAGTTTAATCTTCCTCATTAACATAGCACATTCCTAGAATAAAGCTCTTTAATGGAAAAAGGATTGCCATCAAATGCATAAAATGATTTTCACATGACAACGAATTTAAAAGACAAAAAAGAAATGGAAAAGGAATACAACTGATAGAAGGGTAAAGTACAAATCTACTGCAGAGAAAATTAAAATAAAACTGACTAAATTAGTGTTTTTGTTTACCACACACAGGTTTCACCTATTTATTCCTAGCAGACACAATTGCTCATTAATACAATAAAACTGTTCTCTTTTAATAAGTCTTGATAACCAAATTCTGCTCTAATTCGAAACTCAACCACATAAAATGAGATCTTCATTAATGGACATCAATTTTGCCAAAATAAAGGAAATATACATTGATAGACATAAATTTGTCACTCATGGAAGGAAAACGAATAATTAACTAAGTAATATACACCATGAAGGAGAATGAAATTAAAATAATGTATACATATGAAATAATTATCTAAGAGAAACTAGAGATCAGAAAAATTGCTGATAATAACACCATGAGTTTATCATAGAAACTACACAAGTTCACAAGGATTGGTTGGCTATGTAATTGTAGCTTTGATTAGAAAAGAAACCCATCAATACCATGGCCACTTGAACAACCACCACCATTGCCACCAAGGCAATTGATGCCACCAGTACCACAATCATGTTAAGCTGCAATTCCTCTGCCTCCACTTCCACTCAACTTCAAGTTGACCTTCATCACAAGAGCACAAGCACTACAATTAACAAAAGAACACCACCTCAACCACCTAACGCTGGCAGTCCTTCCGACAGCACTACCACCATCAAAGTTGCATGCCATCTCTACCTTTAAAGGGTGATACACACTCTACTAGTGATGGACTGCTTAGTTCATATTAAAACAAAAAAATAGTGATCAGTTTGTAAAATAATGGATTCCAAGAGATAAGTTCAGATTCTGATGATTAAGGCGAGTTCAACAAATTTGAATGAACAGAAATTCAGCCAATAGAAAAAATAGAAAAGTACCTCACTCCGTAGGGGCTGCTTCAGTTCCACACTCGAGTCAGTAGAATAATTCAACAATCATGCTTTAACCAGGAAAAACTTTCATTACAACTACAAATTTTTTATAGAAACTACATTACACAAATTTGTAAAGATAAAAATTTCCTACAACCATGGCTTTCTAAACTCCTATAACAGCATACCTAGTCCTAGTCAAGGATTTTTTTTAAAAAAATAGAAGTTTTGCCATAAAAAATGTATCCCTAACCTGTAAAATCACTAAACTACCATATACTAAAAACAATGGATTGTGAACAAGTCCTTTCTCCTTCTTGTTTTTCCAACATCAACTAGATTGTAGAAACTAACAATATAAGTTGCAAAATCAAACTCTTAAAGAAAGCATTGGACTTTGAACACTCAAGACTACAAATATAACAAATTATAAAGTCTGCGTAACAGAATAATGGAATCTGGGATGATTTTATTGTGTTGTTAGGTCACTGACTCACTGCCTGCCTATTCTAACATATGAATAATTTTAAATGAGATTTCACATGTCTTTAATCACTCTAAAAAGCATAAATGACTACACTATCCGTTAGGTTAAAGATCTCACCCCAGCTTTGAAATTGAAATCTGAAATCCGAAACTTGAAAGAACATTTGGCAATAGATTATTACAAAGAAGAAAAATCAAACATTATCAGATTTTGTGTTCTTGGCTGCAGGGTCTAGAAGCACAGATGTTCTTAAAACCTGACAAACAAATTATCATTGCTTCGAGAAATGAAACACTCTAAACAAACGAGAGACATTTTTTGTCTTTGGGAAACATACAAGCATATCCCATCAAGGACTTGAACTTACACCATTTTAGCAACAAGAGGAGATTCCACTAAAGATAACCAATTGTGCCAATTTTATAACCATACCTAAACTAGTAGATAGTAAACTACATGTCTACAATAGTATACTCACAGAGTCATATGACTAAAAATAAAGTATAAAGTTCTTGTCAAGGAAAGAAAGTCAATATATAATCATAACAAAGATATTAACTATGCAGGCATAAAAAATGTATGTGAAGAAAGAAAAACATAAAAAGAAAGAAGGAAGAAGGAAGAAGGAAAAAATGAGAAATAAAAGAAGAGAACTATATATAGAACGGCAGCATGCTATTTAACATCCCTGACCAATGACTCAGCCCTCAAGACCATGTAGAAATACGTGGATGTAAACCTAGTAGTCATTTATTTAATTACACAAGATCACCTAATAAATGTCTGGGTCAAGTTAATATTTTTTGGCAAGGAAAAGCATTTAGAGACAATAGGGGTATCATACAAGACTCAAATACAAGGGGAAGGTGTTTTAGGTTACGCAAATTAATTTAAAATAGAAAAAATGATGACTTCTTGCAAAAATACAGTTATTAGGTTTGGATGGTACCAAAAGTAACCCTAATAAAGACTTCAATTGCAAATTTAATGGAGCGAAACAATACAGGCTCCAAATGTTGTTGAAATTGAATTTTAGGTTTACGATGGTAGTACAATGATTACTATGATTGTATCCAGATTTTACGTTTTACTAGTCATTGGCATAAACTATTCAATCAAATCTATTAAACATGCATAGGAGGAATTAGATTTTATATGAATTTCCACTCCAAAACCATATGAACAGTCTCACAGTACTTTGAAGTTTGAAGTAACAGCAGAGCTAAAAAACATGCAGAAAACAGTTGACAATCAACCTCACGTATTATAAGTACAAACACATTCATTTACTAAAACAAACAGATCTAAACTTGAAAATAAGAAGAAGAAAAAAAAAAAGAAAAAAGAAAAATATACGAGCTTCCTAAGTAGGAAAATAATAGGGATGAAGAGGAGTAGAACCAATCTGTGTCATCTAGTGAATTTAACTAAATCAGAGTCAACCAATCATTCTTTTTCTTTTTTTTCTTTTTTTAATAATGTCATCACTGACAACTACTAGAAAGAAACAAACCTATATATTTGGTCTGTTAGAAATATGACGTGTCACAAAAAATAAAGATTGAAAGGAATTGGAAACAAAATTGATTTTGAATTTGGTACAAACAAAATGAAATCTTAAAGTAGAACCATATTCTTGAAGGAAATAAAAAAAAAAACTAGTGACGGAAGAGAAATTGCAAAAGAGAGAGAAGGTTCATAGATTACAATTCAAATCTATTACAGCAAATCACTAGGCGTATAGGCCAAATACAATCTGATGCTTTGTCAACCTTTGATGTTAGGGGCTCAAGTCTCCTTTTGTCTTCCCAGCCAAAGAAGAAGAAGAAGAAATAAAAGCAATGAAGAGAAGAGGTCTATTGCTTTGTCATGTCTACAAAGCAAGTACATGACTGAGATTCTAAGGAAAAAATACAGGAAAAAGGGAAGTGCATCAATGATTTGTTGCCGAAGAAATGCAGGTTATTGGCAATAAACAGCTTCATTTCTGAGAAACAAGAACAGAATTATAAATCCAAACAATATTCACGATGAACATATACTAACAAATCTTACGTTGACATGACGTCATTTCTACATTTCTATCCTGAGACCCTTTAAGAGGAAATACAAAGCATCCCAAACCCTATTATTCAAGTCTTCAACTTGTTTAACTTCATGAGAAAAAGCCAAGTAAACCGGGAAAAATCATCAATAAAAACAACAAAATAATGGGATCCCCCCATAGTGGTAGTAGGGGAGGGTCCCCAAATATCCGAATGTATAAGATCAAAAGGTGCAAGGGAAACAGAAGTACTTTTATTAAATGATAAAGCAGGTTGTTTGGCAAGTTGACAGGGTATACAATCGAAATGATCGGGAATTACATGACCCAACTGTCCACTAGAAACCAAAGACCTTAAACGAGTAACAGAAATATGCCCTAAGCGACAATGCCAAAGATGAAAGGGAGATAATGAGGAAGTAGAGGTAGGAGCAGCGATCTGAGGAGAGGTAGGAACATGAAGGTGAATGAGTTCATAGAGACGTCCACGCTTACGGCCGATCCCAATAGTCTGCCCCGTCTGAGGGTCCTGTACCAAACAATCAGTAGCAGAAAAGGTGACAGTTAGACCAAGTTCACATAATTGACCAATGGAAATAAGGTTTAAGGTGAGAGCAGGGATATGATAAACTTGAGGTATAGATAAAGAAGAGGTGGAAACAGTACCAACATGACGGACAGACATAAGGGAACCATCAGTAGTATGAATGGAGGGAATATGAGGTGATGAGGAGAAGGAAGAAAAGATAGTAGAACTGGAGGTCATATGATTACAACAGGCAGAGTCAAAATACCAAGAAGAGTTACCTGGGGTTACAGACAAAGCAGTAGGAGGAGCTGTACCAGAAGGGGAGAGAAGTTGTTTGAGCATGGCCTCTACATCCGTCGGAGAAAAGCGAAGGGTAGACGGAGCAGGTGACTCAGAGAACCCCGCAGAGGCAGAAGCATCAGTGTGATAAGACTGATTCCCGGAAGCAGCAGCAGCAGTGTGATGAGACTGATTCCCGGAAGCAGCAGTAGCAGTGTGATGAGACTGATTCCCGGAACGATGAAAGCTTCCCCGGGAAGAGCCACCGCGAGAGGAGTGGCTATTGGAGGATGATCGGGATGGATTGCGAAAACAATCCTGTTGCAGATGACCAGGACCAAGTTTGTTGCAGTAGCGGCAGGATCTGACGGGGCAATTGACCAGGAGATGGGTTGAAGGAAGGCCCCGATTCTGACAATAGAGGTAAGCAGTGGTCCGCTGGGTAAATGATGGCCGGTACGGAGGAGTGGCAAGAACAGAGTCCACATGATAAGCTTGAAGTGTACCAAGACAAGTCTCTGATAGGAACTCAGAAATTGCTTGTTCAAGAGTGGGCAATGGATGGCGATGAAGCAAAGAGGCACGTACGGGCTCAAAAGAGGAAGTAAGAGCTATGAGAAATTGCACCAACCTTTGCTGGTTGCGATAGATAGTAAATAAAACAGCATCTTCGTGGTTATGCCAAGTTGGTTCTGAAAGAGCAAGCTGATACCAAATAGAGTACATTTGAGAAAGGAAGTCATTAATGGACTGAGTGGATTCTTAGCGCATGCGGTGAAGTTGGTTCTGAAGTTGATATTGATGGGCAAGACCAGTAGTCTGGTATCGTTCTTTCAAAAAATCCCAGATGTCTTTTGCAGGAGTAGTTACAGAGTCAAGCTGAAAGTGACCAAACTAAAGACTGATAGAGGTAACAGAGGTATTACAAAACCAGGTAATGATTTGGTAATTCTTACAGTCCCATTCCTCAAGTCGGTCTTCATATGCAGCAGTATGAGCAGCAGTTTCAGTAGTGGCACTGTCTTTTACTGGTTTAGCCACATCCCCGGTGACAATTCGCCAGAGCTTCTTGCCTTTGAGGAAGGAGGACATGGCTTGGGCCCACAGAACATAGTTTGAACCATTCAAAATAACGGAAATGGGATGGGAGGCATCATGACGATCCATAATACTAGTTGAGTAGGGTTAAAGTAAGAGGAATAGACCTATAGGAGCAAAATTAGGTAAAATAGAGTGCACCAGTGAGTCCGGAAGGTCGAAAATAGCAAGGAAAGGTATGCTGGACAGAGATGATGTCAGCAATGATGTCAGCGGCGCACGTTAGCAGAGTGCAGGGAGGAGCACGTTAGCAGGAAGGCAACGGGGCACGTTAGCAGACAGGCGCAGGCGCGGCGCACGGTAGCTGTTTTGGCGCACGCGGGTGCACAATAGCAAAGCGGCGCACGGTACGCGTACGGTAGCAGGCGCGGCGTATGGGAGCCGCGGACGTGTGGGCGCGTGGGTGACGCGCCGAGGACAAAGGCGGCGCGTGTGGGCGCGTGGAAGGTTTTCTGAGAACGGGCTTGGTGCCGTTGGAATCGTGAGGAAATTCCGAGCGGTTTGATGTAGTGCCACTGTGTACGGGACTAAACACCAAAATCGAAAATTGCCAGAAATGTAACACTGCGCTCTGATACCATGAAATATTAGTTTGAGAGAGTGAGAGAGGATAGAGAGAGAGAGAGAGACTGAATTCTTTCTGTTATTGTATATTTCTTACAAAGAGAATGCACTCTCTGTATAGAGAGAATGTGATGCATTGGATGCCCACCGAAAGCATAAAGAATTTACATTATAAAAGAGAAAGTGCTAAAGCTAATCATACACTAACATGCTAAAGCTATTTACAATCATACACTAACATCCCCCCGCAAACTCAAGGAGGGAAAGCATCAACCAAGTTGAGTTTGGAAACAAGATCATTGAAGCGGCCAGGAGGATGAGCCTTAGTGAATATATCAGCGGGTTGATCGACGGAAGCAATAGGGAGAAGATGAACAGTACCTCAGGTAACATGCTGGCGAATGAAATGACAATCAATCTCAAAATGTGTGGTGCAATCATGAAAAACATCATTGTGAGCAATCTGAATGGCACTCTGATTGTCACAATAGAGAGGGGTAGGACCAGAAGAAAAAACACCCATATCAGCAAGGATCCAGCGAAGCCAGAGAAGTTCCTGAGTAGTATCAGCAAGAGCTCGGTATTCAGCTTCGGTGCTAGAGCGGGCAGTGAGGGATTTTTTTTTGCTACGCCAAGCAAGAAGAGAATCCCCTAAGAAGAAACAGAATCCCGTGGTGGAGCGTCGATCCGTAGGATCCCCAGCCCAATCAGCATCGGAAAAGGCACGTAGGTCAAGAGAGGAAGAAGCCGAGAAGTGAAGACCATGGAACATAGTGCCTTTGAGGTAGCGAAGGATACGGAGTAGAGCAGTATAGTGGGGAGTGCGAGGAGCCGACATGTACTGACTGACAATGTGAACAGCATAGGCAATGTCAGGACGAGTGACTGTGAGATAGACAAGACTGCCGACGAGCTGGCGATAAAGAGTAGCATCAGAGAGAAGAGTCCCATCGAGAGGAGTGAGACGAATCTGAGGATCAACTGGAGTAGAGGTAGTTTTGCAATTAGTAAGACCAACACGAGCCAGAAGATCGGATGCATATTTGGCCTGGGACAAATAGGAACCAGTAGAATCATGAGAGACTTCAAGGCCTAAGAAGTAGTTAAGAGTACCAAGGTCCTTCATCTCAAACTGGCGGTGGAGAAACTGTTTGGGGTGGAGAATACCAGCTTCATCATTACCAATGATAATCATATCATCCACATACAGAAGAAGAAGAGTGGTACCATGAGAAGTAGTCCGTATAAAAAGAGCAGAGTCATAGGAGCTAGAGGTGAACCCGAAGTCATGAATGGCAGAACTGAACGTAGCAAACCAAGCATGAGGTGCTTGCTTGAGGCCATAGAGAGCACGCCGTAGATGCAAACCTGATGAGGTGGAAAAGTGGACCCAGGTGGAGGTTGCATGTAGACCTCCTCAAGAAGATGACCATTGAGGAAAGCATTTTTGACATCCATCTGAAAGAGCCCCCAGTGGCGAGCAGCAGCAACAGCAAGTAAACTGCGAACAGAGGTAAGCCGAGCAACATGAGAGAATGTCTCCTCATAATCAAGACCATATTCCTAGTTGAAACCCTTGGCAACAAGACGAGCTTTAGCATGTTAGTGTATGATTAGCTTTAGCAATTTCTCTTTTATAATGTAAATTCTTTATGCTTTCGGTGGGCATTGTAGACGTCCCCCGAACGCCCCAGGAGGGTGAGCTTCCGTTCTGTTCATTTGGAGTCACTATAGCTCGGACTCTTTAAATGTCACGGTTCCTAATCTGAACCAAAGAGTCCAAATCCGGCAAATCGTTTTGAGAAACTGATTTTTTGAAAAAGTAGTGCCAAATATGGACTTACATAAGCACATAGCCTCATGGTAAGTATGCTATCATGGCAATCACTCACACGCATGCAAGGATGCTAAAGCATAAAACTTACCGAGTACTCCAAGCCAAAATAGGAATTTATTAGAAATCATGCATGATCCTAAGTATACAAAAATGCCTAATGCAACACATGCAAAATGCAAACTATGAAATTCGGAACCATCTAA